CTCGCTTGTGGTGCTGTGACTGAGCTCCACTGTGGTCCCTGAGAAGGTGAGATTCTGCCCATTACGCAGATGAAGAAACTGAGGCTCCTGGCGGGGAAGTGACTTGTTCAAGACTGCCCAGTCAGAGGATGGCAGAGCTAGGTTAGGATGCCAGATGAAGGTGGTCTGTCCTTGCTGAGATTGCATCTGGCATCCCCTTCTTGGGAGCCAGACACACAGGTAGCTCAGACGTTGGGCCAGGCTTAAGAGTGTCTCCACGTGCAGTCTCCAGGCCTGCCCCCCAAGCTGGCCCAGCACCCAAATAACCCTCCCAAATGCAGCGTGCCCATGTCCTGCTCTTCTCTGAACACCTTCAGCTCTCCAGTGGTACAGGATGAAGCCCCAGCTCTGGACTCGACCTTCTCGCTCCGTCATTCGCTGACCCCAGTAGACTCCTCCAGCTTCCTGCTTCGGCTCCCCGCACTCCGTCACCCTGAGTGCTTATATTTTCCCAAACAAACACACGGTGCATGCTCTCAAAGGCTGAACACCTTTACACAGGCCAAGCTCGGTGTCAGGGTCAACTTCCCGGTCCTCTTCCCTCCAGTAGTTCCTACATGGTCTCTAAGGTGAAGCTCTGCCTGCAGCCCCCATCTCTGACCCACCCACCCACCTAGGCTGGGTGAGGCAAGCCCACTGCTCTCTGCTCCAGCCACACGCTCTGCTGAGCTTTACGGTCAGTGCAGTTATCACAGAACAGCAATCAGCTCTTACTAGCCTGCTTCTCCAACCAGACTGTGAATTTCAAGAGGATGGGCATCACGACTTACCTCTGGAGCTACGGTGCCTGGCACAGCACGTAGCCAGAATGTTTATTATTTGCGGAAGGAGGGAGGGAAGGAGAGAGGAAGGAGCAAGGAAGGGTAGGAGGGAGGATGAGAGAGATGGGAGGGAAAGATGGAGAATGGGAAAGGAGGGTGAGGAAGGGTAAGAGGAAGAAGTGTTAAGCGTTCTTTCCTCTACATTATTTTATTGAAAAGTTTGGGCAGCGAGGAAACACGCAGAGAAGGGGCCACACCTCATACCATAGGGCTTTGATGATTTTTGCTAAATCTGCAGACCATTGTTTTTAACCTTAATCTTTGTTTTTCATTGGCTCACTGAACCAAATGCATCTTAAAAGGAAATGCTGCATCACTATCCTGAACGGAAGCTAGAATCACTTCCCATCAACAAAAAGTTTTCGTAAAAATGAATAGAACTGGTGCTTACCATGTGCCAGGTGCCCTGCTAGGCACATCGCTAACACTGTGAACTCACGTTAACTTGTTCAGCCCCAGAGCAACCTTAGGATGAGGTCCCATTACGTCTCAAGTGTAGAGATGGGGAAACTGAGGCACAGAACCCCAGCCAGTGTCACAGCGGGGAAGCAGCAAGGTTACCACCGGAAGCCAGGCAGCCTGGCTGTAAGAAACAGATAAAGCAACATCTTGTCTTCTGTCTAGACAGTATCGCCTTCTTCAGGTTCTGTGCCGGAAGCCTCTTTCTTTGTTACAAACAGAGATCAGCAATCACTAAAGAGTATTTAAAGCCACAGCAGCACAAACCTGAAGCTTTCTGAAATAATCCACTGATGGAAAGGAAATAGGGAAAAGAACGGATTTCTCGTGGTATGCTCCACTGTTATTTCACGCCAAGTCTGGAAAACTGTCTCTGCTTGAGCCAGTAGGGTGCATCCCGTACTTTGGGAACCTGGAGCAGAAGGAGCTGGCAGAAGCATCACCAGCACCACCCTGGCATTTTTAGCTCAGAAGACTGTCTGGAACTGTAGGAGGCAGAGCCAGAGAGGAAGCGGAAGAATGGGGGAAATTCTAAAATTAAACAAATAAAATCAAATTAATCTAACTATACAGCAAATTGATCTATCACTGTGGTATCATGAGACCACAGAGAAGGAAAAAAGAACAAATCCAAGACACCTCTTAACACAGCCCAAACAACCGTCCCGCCCTTGAGCTAAAGGCAGCAGAAGTGGAAAGAAAGTCCGGGCTTTCTACAATAGGTTGGCTGTGGCTCACCAGGTATGAAGCTGCATTGTGGTTGTTGCAGCACCGAGCCAATGAGCAAACACATTGATGTTTTTGGAAGTCGGGGTTTTCAGCAAGGGACATACAAAGATGGGAGGGAGAAAATTCCTGCGGTGTTGAACTGGACTTTGAGGGGAAAGGATGATCCCTGCTGTAAATGCTCTTATTGTCGTTCTGTCTCTCAGTCCTGTCCAACTCTTTGCAACCCCATGCACCGCAGCACGCCAGGCTTCCCTGTCTTCAACTGTCTCCCAGTGTTTGCTCAAACTCAAGTCCATCGAGTCGGTGATGCCATCCAACCACCTCATCCTCTGTCTCCCTCTTCTGCTCCTGCCTTCAGTCTTTCCCAGCATCAGGGTCTTTTCCAATGAGTCAGCTCTTTGCATCAGGTGACCAAAGTATTGGAGCTTCAGCTTCAACATCAGTCTTTCCAGTGAATATTCAGGGTTGATTTCCTTTAGGATGGACTGGTTTGACCCCCTGTAAATGTATTTAAACACAAATGAATGTTGATTTCCAGTCTGCTCAAAGGACTGGGATCAATGACACTCTAATAACAATGAGCCCAGCAGATCTTGGTTTTTAATATCATTCCCAATACAAGGAACCAGGGCCATCTGGGAAAATGGACAATCCCAAGTTTGGGAACAAGAAAAATACAAGGTGAGCCTGGAACAGCAGGTTTTGGCAGAAAATAAGGAAGTGACCAAAGAATGATACATCAAAAGGACACAGGAACCAGCTCCAGGAGACCGCTGTTGCCAACTCTGGAACAATTTAAGTATTGACTTGGAGGGGACAATCAAGCATTGAATAATGATGGCAATGGATTGTACCATGCTGAATAAAAAAAAGAACCCACAAATTCCCCCTGATAAATATAAAATAAAGAAAAAAGAAAGGAAGGACAAGGGAAAGGAAAGAGGGAGGAAGGAAATGGGGGCAGAGGGAGGGGGTTGAGGGAAGCTCGTCCTTGGAGAAGAATGCCAACTAATGAATGAAGAGGAAATGATGGGTTTATAACATCATTTGACAACCATTTGTAGTAAAAAACTAATTCCTTTGTCATCAGTGGATACTGGAGAGTCATCAGGGCAGAATCATCAAGGAATGATGGAATTAGGAAACCATTTGGATCCAAAAATTGATTTCAGTAAGAGTCATCAGTGGGGGAGCTCTGTGCGGGGTAGGCAGCATATATACACGGTCTCAAAGCTCGGCCTCCGTATTACTTGCTAAGCCTACAAGAGAAAAGTGGACCTTTGCTGCAGGGAAATCTGGCAGAGCTCAGCTCAACCAAGAGCTCATTTGGGACCACTGGACCTCGTGCCTCCTGATGTGCTGTGCAGAGGACTGGGTGGCAATGCTGGGGAAGCCCTGCCAAAACGCGGGACCCGGGTCTGATCCTGAGCAAACAAGCTGACAACCGACACCAAAGGACAAGGACATTCTACACAACATAATGGCCCTGGATTTTGCAGAAATGTCAAGATCATGAAAGGCACAGAGGGTGGAGGGACTAAATGTTTCAGATTGAAGGAGAGGAAAGAGACAGGACAACTGAATACAGACCTCATCCTGGGCTGGACTGCAGATGGGAAAAAGAAATGCTATAAAGGGTATTCCTGGGACAGTTGGCAACATCTGAATATAAATTGTATATAAGATAATCATGTGTATCAAATAAATGTTGTGATTATGCAGGGGGTAAGGAAGCGTGTAGGGGCAAAAAGTCATGATGGCTACAACATACTTTGAAAGGGTTAAGCAGAAGAAGGAGGGGTAGGGGAAGAAGGTATATAGATACATAGAGAGAGCAAAAGAGATGAAGGCACGTGGACTGGTCAGTTTAGAGCAGGATTTCTCAACCTTGTCCTTATTTTGTAGACAGGGAGTCTCTCATCCGAACCGTTTGTTTAAGGACATGTTTACTTCTGGCTGTCTTGGTTGCTGTGTGCTGGCTTCTCACTGCACGGGGGTTTCTCTTGTGGAGCGTGAGCTCTAGGGTGTGCAGGCATCAGTAGCTGTGGCGTGTGGGATCACTGACCGGTGGATTCTTAACAGCCAGACCACCGGGGAAGCCTCTAACCTTGTCCTCATCGACATTATCAACCAGAAAATTCTTTCTTTTTTTTTTTTTAAGAGTTGCTCAAGGCAATTTCATCACTTGGTTGTAAGAGTTGGGCTGGACATTAGCGATGTAACCTCTAGGTTAATTAGAGGTCAACCACCCAAATGCCATGAGATTTAGTACTTAGTCCTAGAGGGAACCCCCCCAGTCTCGATGGGGTGTGTGTGTGTGTGTGTGTGTGTAACTGAAACATTCGCTCAGTTGTCTGACTCCTTGCAACCCCATGGACTGTAGCCTGCCAGAATCCTCAGTCCATGGGATTTTCCAGGTAAGAATAGTGGAGTGGATAGCCATTCCCTTCTCCAAGGGATCTTCCAGACCCAGGGAACAAAACTGGGTCTCCCACACTGCATGCAGATTCTTGACCATGTATACGGACACTAGGGAAGCCGACAACAATCTTACCCTCCGTCACCTCACATAGTTAAATTTTTTTTTTCCTTGTGATAAAACCTTGTTGAGAGGGGCAGTGACGACATACTACGTATGTAGTAGCATCGTAGCAGTGTTGAGCAGCATCCTTGGCCTCTACCCACTGGATGCCAGTAAAAACCAAAAGCCAAAAATATCCCCAGACACTGCCTCTAGACCTGTCCCCTGAAAGGCAAAACTACCCCTGACTGAGAACCGCTGCTCCAGGTTGGGGACCGAGAGGTGTTTATCGAGCCGTTCTTACAACTCTGTGGATTTGAACATTTCCCAAGTAAAAAATTTTAAACCAACAGACCACACATCAAAGTGTTGGCTGAAATAAAAATGAACAACGTGAGAGCTGTGAGTTCCAGTTTTATCTGGGGACTCACTGAGGACCATAGTCCAGGAGACCAGCTTTCAGCCAGTCCCGAGGAACTGCTCCAGGGTGGGGGAGGCGGCAGGTGAGCAGATATGCGATTTTGGAGAAGGGGTACCTGTAATCATGCAAATCTCTCGGTAAGGCTGCTGCTAGCCTCAGGGAATAGATATGTCAGCTAATGATTTTAGTGCTTTCCTAAGTATGGGGAGATGCAAGAAACTGGGTTTATAAAATTTTCCCCTGAAAATATCTAGCTAGGTAAAGGCCTCTTCTGACAGCTTCTCTGGAGTACAGAGAACCTCATTCCTGATCTCTGCCCAGAACTCCTTTCAGGGCATGGTGAAAGTGGAGAATGAATGACTAAATTCTTGTAGAGCCACATACAACACTCTGGTGAAAGAAAGTGGCCGTGGGGGCTGGGGGCGGTGTAGTGTGCGTGTGGGTGCTTAATCCCTGTCGTGTCCGACCCTTTGTGACCCCATGGACCATAGCCCGCCTGGCTCCTCTGTCCGTGGGATTCTCCAGGCAAGAATACTGGAGTGGGTTGCCATGCCCTCCTCCTGGGTGTCTTCCTGACCCAGGGATAAACCCACGTTCTGTGTCTCCTGCATTGGCAGGCAGATGCTTTACCAGGTAAGCCATGGGGGACCGGGGTGGGAGGGCATGTAGAGGAAGGGGCATTTATTCCTCTGGCCGCGTTGTTAGCACTCCGTGGTCCCTGTTGCCTGTGAGCTCCTTGGTGGCAGGCATCTTTTTCATCTTCATTGCCCCACAGTGGACTATGTGTCAACCTGGGCAAATTCACAACACCATCTTCTGCGTCTGGGAATCCGCTGATGGGCCATCAGATTGGGCGTGCGTGCCACCAGCTAAGGGGGCCAGAGCCAAGAGGCAGCGGAGGTGAAGCCGGGCATGGACGCCCAGACCCTGCTGGGCAGCAGGCGGGGTGCTGACAGAGAGGCAGGAAGGTGTCTGAGCCAAGGCTGGGCAGGGACCAGCAGGTGGCCTGGAGTTCCCAGCGGGCCCAGCGTGGAGTGTCGGGACTTTTGATGGAGCCAGGCGAGGAGGGATCTGGAGCGGGCAGCAGGGAAAGGAAGCTGATGCAGCCAGTGTATTGATCAGGACCAGAAGAGCCGTGCCCGAGATGGGAGGACCTCGGGCCTCCAGCTGCAACCCCCTAAAGACAGCAAGCTCCCTGGCTATAGCCCTTCACTCCTGCAGCTCCCATTGCCTCCTCAAACTGGACTAATGGAACATTCCAGAAGGAGAGGCTTGGACAAGAAAGAGGAGGAAGGGGTGGTGGGGTGTGGGACCACAGCCTCTTCACGGAACTGGTATCTCACGTGGTCCATGAGACAGTTGACTTGAATCCAGCCTTTCCAGACCATCTGTGGCAGTCCCGGAGACCTGAAGACAGGGTTATCAAATTCCGAGGCCTCTGACAGCCCTGCCCGCACCAGTTCTCAGCACTTCTCTACCTTCCCCTCCCCCCACCACTCTGCTCCCTCACATCACTGCAGCCACACTGGCCTCCTTGCTGCTCCTCAAACCAATTAAAACAGCCCCCCAGCCCCAGGACCTTTGCACTTGCTGATCTGTCTGTCTGGAAGGTTTTACCTCATATCCTCTCAGTCTTCCTTCCTCACTTGATTCAGCTCCAATTGCACCCTCTGAGGGAGGCCCTTCCTGAACCCCAACCCTAGTTTAAACCATTATAAAAAGCAAAAGTGAAAGTGTTAGTCACTCAGTTGTGTCTGAGTCTTTGCAAGTCCATGGACTGTAGTCTACCAGGCTCCTCTGTCCATGGAATTCTACAGGCAAGAATACGGGAGTGGGAAGCCATTCCCTTCTCCAGGGGATCTTCCCCACCCCCAGGGATCGAACCCAGGTCTCCTGCATTGCAGGCGGATTGTTTACCATCTGAGCCACCAGGAAAGCCCCTAAACTGTTCTACCCTGACCTTGTTTCCTTCATAGCAGTTATCGTTTCACTTCTGAAATGATACTTTTACTTGCTTGCTTGTTCACTGTTTCTCTTGCTAGACAGTAAACTTCCTGAAGGTGGGGACTTCATCCTGTTCACAGCTATACACTCTCTAGAACAAGGCCTGGCACATAGTAAGTACTCAATAAATACTTGAGAGAATGAAGTACTTTAATTCATCACCCTTTTTTCCATGTTAAGGTTGTTCCCGCCTCCAAAAGGAAAAGTCCTGACCCCACTTCTCTTCCTTTCAAATTTTACCAAACTCTTTTTTCTTATGCTTGAGTGGGAAAGATAAGTTTAAAAAAATTATTTTTTAAAAGCAGGGGAGATCATAGTAAGCCTGATATTGACTTCCCTTAGGATAGTTTTGCTTTTTTTTTTTTTCTTGGCTACGCTTCATGGTTTGTGAGATCTTAGTTCCCTGACCCTGGTGGCTCAGACGGTAAAGAACCTACCCACAATTCGGGAGACTCAGGTCCAATCCCTGGGTCGGGAAGACTCCCTGGAAGAGGAAATGGCAACCTACTCCAGTATTCTTGCCTGGAAAATGCCATGGACAGAGAAGCGTGACAGGCCACAGTCCATGGGTCGCATAGAGTAGGACACCACTGAGCGACTTACACTTTCACTTTCACTTTTCAGTTCCCTGCTGTTGCTCTTCAGTCACCCAGTCATGTCCGATTCTTTGCAACCCCATGGACTGCAGCACACCAGGCCTCCCTGTCCCTCACCATCTCCCGGAGTCTGCCCAAGTTCATGTTAACTGAATCCATGATCCCGGCCAGCCATCTCATCCTCTGACGCCCTCTTCTCCTTCTGCCCTCAATCTTTCCCAGAATCAGGGACTTTTCCAATGAGTCATCTGTTCGCATCAGATTACCAAAATACTGGAGTTTCAGCTTCAGCATCAGTTCTTCCAGTGAATAGTTAGGGTTGATCTCCCTTAAGATTGACTGGTTTGATCTCTTTGCTGTCCAAGGGACTCTCAGGAATCTTCTCCAGCACCCCAGCTGGAAGGCGTCAACTCTTTGCCCTTCTACCTTCTTTATGGTCCAGCTCTCACAACCGTACGTGACCACTGGGAAGACCACAGCCTTGACAGTACAGACCTTTGTCGGCAGAGTAATGTCTCCTTTTCAACACACTGTCTAGGTTTGTCATCGCTTTCCTGCCAAGAAGCAATTGTTTTCTGATTTCATGACTGCAGTCACTGTCCGCAGTGATTTTGGAGCCCAAGAAGAGGAAATCTGTCACTCCTTCCACCTTTTCCTCTTCTATTTGCCATGAAGTAATGGGGCCGGATGCCATGATCTTAGTTTTTCTAATACTTAGTCTTAAACCAGCTCTTTTGCTCTGCTCCTTTACCCTCATCAAGAGGTTCTATAGTTCCTCTTCGCTTTCTGCCATTAGAGTGGAATTATCCCCATATCTGAGGTTGTTGATATATCTCCTGCCTGTCTTGATTCCAGCTTGTAACTCATCCAGCCCAGCATTTCTCATGATGTGCTCAGCATATAGGTTAAACAAACAGGGTGACAGCAGACAGCGCTGTCGTACTCCTTTCTCAATCTTGAACGAGTCAGTTGTTCCATACATGGTTCTAACTCTTGCTTCTTGGTCCACATATAGGTTTCTCAGCAGACAGGTAAGATGGTCTGGTATTCCCCTCTCTCTAAGAGCTTTCCACATTTTGTCATGATCCACACAGTCAAAAGCTTTAGCGTAGTCGATGAAACAGAGATACATGTTTTTCTGAAATTGCCTTACCTTCTCAAACCCAGGTGCTCAGCAGTGAAAACGGCAATTCCTAAGCACTGGAGCCCCAGGGAATTCCCAGAATATTTTGCTCTTAAAGGTGGATTCCCAGGATCTCCCTCGTGGCCCAGCAGTTAAGACTCTGTGATTCCAACACGGGGGGCTCAGGTTCGCTCTCTGGTCAGGGAACTAGACTCCACATGCCATAGTTAAGATTCCATGTGCTGCAACAAAACCCGGCATAGCCAAATAAATAAATAAATTTTAAAGTAAAACAAATGTATTTTTTTAAAGTGGGTTTCCTGAATGCTGATTGTGACCAGCCCTGGCAAACCCAGCATCATGCTGAAGAGCACGAGACGGGGAGCGGGCTCTGAGCCAGGCTCCCGCTGTGCCCTCTGCCAGCCACGCTCTTCCCCTCACTGTTTGCATGAAGACCCCCCAGCTAAGCCTTCAGATATTGGCTCAAATGTCATCCTCTGTGAGAGGCCTTCCCCCGACCCCCCACGACGCAATGGTCTCTGCCACAGAAGGCATATTTGGTTCACAGAACTTATGTTTGTAATTGTTTGCCTGCTTCTTGGTGGGTTTCCTGCCTCCCACCCTGGACTGTCGGCCCCAGGAGGGCAGGGACCTTGCCTGTGCTGTGTCCCACTGCAAAGCCAGTACCCGGCTCGGTCCTGGCCCACGGTGGGTGCTCGCTGAGCACGTGCTGGAGGGTTAATTAAGAGACCCTCCCCGGAAGCCTCCTGCCTGCCGAGCCCACCTCCCTGCCCCTCACCGAGGATCCACCTGAGCCGCTCTTACCCATCAGGGGGCCACACAGTCCAGCTGCCCCTTTCTTTCTCCGCACCTTCCCGGGAATTCTGCTGGGACACTACCAGAGATGGGCAGCTCCCTTCCCCAACCCTGGGCATGGCACAGGATGGGGGGGTCTCTGGGGGCCCTCCTGCTCACTAGATGGGCTCCTCTCAGCCATGGCAGGGCTGGAATGGAAACTGTCACTTTAGAACAGGTCCTCAGTCCCCTGCTGCTGCAACAAAGCTTCCAGTTCAAGGTCATAACCCTCCCTGTTGAGACCTCAAAAGGCACAGGCCCTGATTCTCGGAGTTACCAACCCTTTTCCCGAATCCCCGCCCCCACCCTCACACTCACGCAGAGCCATCCTGGGGCCCCCACTGCCCCCAGAGTGAGCGCAGCACCTCCCCTGGCATTCCAGGTGCTTCCTGATCCTCCACCCCAGCCCTGCTCACCTGGCTGCTCAGCAGCCCAGGGTACCCAGCCTTTCTCAGCCCCAGGAGTCTGCCTGAGCTGAGTCTCGTCCAGGACATCCTTCTGGCAGGGGCGGAACCGGCCTCTGTCATCGCTGTGCTCCATACACCTCTGTACACCCAAGCCCGATGGCAATAGCAAACTTATGTTGAGCCTCCCAAGAGCTCTGCGTGTTCTGAGTGCTTCGCACTAACTCATTTAATCCTCACAACAAGCTCACAGTAGGCCCTAGTCACTCATTCATTCGTTCAGAGAATTCGTTGTTGTTCGGTCGCTCAGTCGTGTCCGACTCTTTGTGACCCCATGGACTGCAGCACACCAAGCCTCCCTGTCCATCACCAACTCCCAGAGTTTACTCAAATTCATGTCCACTGAGTCGGTGATGCCATCCAACCATCTCATCCTCTGTCGTCCCCTTCTCCTCCTGCCCTCAATCTTTCCCAGCATCAGGGGCTTTTCCAATGAATCAGCTCTCTGCATCAAGTGAAATGGTTATGTGCTTACTGTGGACCATGCTGTTCTAGGTTCTGGGGACACAGTAAAGAACAGATCTCACAAAATTCCCTGCCCTCTGCAGGTTACATTCTGGGCAACTAAAATAAAATATAGGATCATGGGACTTCCCTGATGGTCCAGTGGCTAAAGCTCCATGCTCCCAATGCAGAGGGCCCGGATTCAATCCTTGGTCAAGGAACTAGATCCCACATGCTGAAACTGAGAGTTCGCATGCTGCAACTAAAGATCCTCTGTGCCACAATGAAGATCAGAGGCCTCAGGCTACAACTCAGACTTGGTGCAGCCAAATAAATAAATATTTTTATATAGAACACAATGTACACTTTTATATATAATAGATGATTAAATATATAAGTATTTAATTAAATACTGAAGGAAGGCACGAAAACCCACTCCAGTATTCTTGCCTGGAGAATCCTCATGGACAGAGGAGCCCGGCAGGCTGCAGTTCATAGGGTCGCACGGAATCAGACACAACCGAAGCGACTGAGCAGACACACGCATATATTAAAGTAAAACTCAGGATCATTGAACAGTGATTAAAGCCACATGGGAAAATAAAGCAAGCAGGGGTAAAGAGAAGGCTTGGGTGGATAGGGACTGTCCTTTAAATGTTGGAGTCAGATAAGATGACATTTAAGCAGACACCGGAGGAAGGTCAGAAAGCGAGGCAGGCTCGTATCTGGGAAAGAACATTCTAGCTGGAGAGAACAGCCGGGGGGTTGCGTCAGGGCAGGTCTTTCCTTGGTATCTGCAGACTGAGTGAAGGGAAGGTGACAGACGACGAGCCTTCGAGGTGAGGGGGGGCCACATGGCAGGGCCGTGGGCCACCAAGGCCTCGAGTTTTCCCACTGATTGGGACGGGGAGGCACGCGAAGGGCACTGAGAACAAGCTGTCTGGAGCCCGTGTGGAAGCAGAAAGAGCAGGGAAGTGGTGGACAGTGTTGCCTCTGAGCAGTGGGGGTGGGGAGGAAGACGGAATTGGATTCCAAATAATCTGAAGGGAGAGTCCACCGGACTCCCCGACGGTCAGATGTGGGGATGAGGGGAAGAGAAGAGTCAAGTCTGTCTCTGAAGCTCTGATTGGAGCCTCTGGAAGGATGGAAGTGCCAACTCCTTTAAAAATGAGGAAAGGAAGGTGCAGTGAGGCAGGTAATCTTCCTGAGCTCCCAGCCTGGGCTGGAATTTGAATCCTGGGCTCTGGCTTTGGAGACTTTGCGTTCCCTAACCCTCTGGGGTGTTCAGCAAACATTGAACTTAATGATGGAAGAGTTTTCAAAAGAAAGAGATCAATAGTCAGTGCCTGGGTTGGAAATGTGATTGCTTCTAGGATTGGCCCTGGAGATGGGAATGGCAACCCACTGCAGTATTCTTGCCTGGAGAATTCGTTGGACAGAGGAGCCAATAGTCTATAGGGTTGTAAAGAGTCAGACAAACTGAGTGACTAACACTTCCTAGCATTGGAGCACCCAGATGTGTCCTTCCCAAATTGCTGAATTTCCCATAAGGCTCATCACCCAGGCATAGCTGCCTTTGTAGTTTCACTGGGATGGCATTGGCCGTGCCAGCCTGTGTGAGCCAGCCTGGTTCCTGCAGTGCCCTAGGCACAGGGGTAGCACCTGGGGATGCCGGGCACACAGGCAGCTTCCTCACCTCCATCCCATTCAGGGTGCCGTCACCGTGGAGACAACCCACCAGGTCTCTGCACTGTTTGGGTAACACGGGCTTGAAGGGCTCCTCCTCGCTGTGGAGCTCAGGCCCAGGCACGCTGGGGCATGGGCCACGGTTGGGGCCTGGGGGATTCTAGGGCTCAGCCCGACACCCCAGCAGAGAGCAGATCTGCTCCTCCTGAGTGCCCACCAGGAGTCCGGTACCCCTTTATCTCAGCGTGCCCTCCCTCAACCCCACAAAGAAGGACTGACTGCCCATCCTGATTTGCAGATGGGAAACTTGGGCTCAGCAAGCCCAGGTGAAACAACCAAGAAACGGCAGAGCTAGTCTGAAACCCAAAGCCTGCGTCTTCTCCCAGTCACAGGCCTCTCACTGCGCCCCCCATGTGAGGCCAGGGGCAAGTGATTTCCTCTCCTTGGCCTCAGTGTTCTGTAACAGTGGGTGAGTGACCGTGCCTTCCTCACCGGCTGCCACGAAGCCAGAGGGACCGTGTGTGGGGAGCCAGGGATCTGCGTTCACCGAGCCGCCTAGGGGATTCTGAGGCTCGCTCCTGTGTGGGCACTGCTGTTTCAGGGCATCAACCTGTATCACCTCCGGCTCTAAATCCTTCCATGGCTCTCCATCATCTTCTGGAAAAGCCCAACATCTTTGGAGTGATCTGAACTGATAGGAGGCTGTTTACAGATAGTCTTCACTATTTGCACTTTCTTCGCGTATCCACACACTTTGGTGTAGAAAGATCAGTGTGTTTGTTTCTAGAAGACCCCTCCCACTGGATGTGTTGTGTAAGTACAGGGTATATTTCCCTTTTTAAAATCTGAAAACCTCGGATTTCTGAAACCTCTAACCCCAGCAATTTGGGATAAGGGATTGTGAATCCCTGATACCCTAAGGCTCTTGCTATTTTTCCAGGCAATAGACTGAGCGCTCTGCCCATATTTGATCCTGACAGTAACCTAAGCAGCCACTTTATTATTAAGTTCATTTGATAGAAGGGTCCCTGAGGCTCCAAACTGTGCAGCAGCTGGCCAGGTTCCCGGGTGGCAGCCCACCTCCGAACGTCAGACCGCCACTCAGAGCCGCACACACAGTCCACAGATGCCACCGTCCTCCCCTGCCCTCTGCGAGGCCGGCCAACCTGGCAGGGGCAGGGCACGCCGGATGGAGGCCTGAGTCATGGGCACGGCCCCGCCACGGCCTCTCATCTGACCGGGGAAACAGGTCCGGCACCTCACATCAGTCAGGGCCACCAGGGAAGGGCTTCAAACGCTGGTTAGAGCCCTTGAACCTTATCCAGAAGGCCATGGGGGGCCATGGAAAGATCTGGAGCGTGAGAGTGACGCAATCAGGCTGATGCCCTGAAAGAGCAGTACCTGAGCGTGCATGGGCAGCAGAGGGCTTCTTAGACAACTGGGCCCCGCCCCCGAGCTCCTGATTCCCTGGATCTGGGGTGGGGCCTGGGAATTTTCATTTCCAACCGGTTCCCAGGTGCTGCTGGCAGTCCGAGATCCCGTGCTGAGAGCTGCTGCTTTAGAACAGCACAGCAGCGTGGAGTGCCTGAGTATTTGCTGGAAGAAGGGCTGCCATGCCGGTCTCTTGATCCTCCCAGCTCACAGATGACGAAGCCCTGAGACTCAGCGGCAGAGACAGCCTGCACGGTCCACACAGCGATTCCGTGCTGGGGCAGGAACTCCACCCTGGGGGCTTAGGGCTTCCAAGTGACCTCCCCTACTCCTCGGCTCTGAGACGGGGCCAAAGATGGGGCTCTTGGAGGGCAGGACAGGGTGCTCTGTCCCCAGACAGCGTCACAGTCACCAAGTCCATGAGTCAAGCCAACAGATGTGGGTGTTGCTGCGTCCCTGGCTCTGGACCCTCTCACCCACTCCACCTGTGGACCCCCAGCTGCAATGAGTCTGCCCCAGCAGCAAGGCCATGAGCAGGTTCAACCAGGCTGTGTTGCAGCTGCTGCAGAGGGCGTCTCTTGATGAGACCCCCTTTCCTGGAGAAACCCTTGACCCTTCCTTGAAGTCCCCAAATGGCTGCTTCAAGAAAAGCAAGGTGCTTCTCTCATGTCCCTGTTCTCTGGCAGGTTCTTGCCGTCAGCACCTCTCAGAGGGACTCCGCGCTGCACCCTCAGGAAGGGACGGCACCGGGAGACTAGTGGCTGCTCTCTCGCAGCTCCCAACAGGGCCCGCAGCCCCGCTCCCTTCCTGGCTGGGTGACCCCGAGCCCTATTTGCAGACTGCCCACCTCAGAGGCCGTGGGTGGGTGAGATGCCGCATTACCAGGAAAAACACTATTCCCTGAGGACTATGTGCCAGTACTATTGCCAGGCATCAGCTTGGCACCCTCTCATCAGCAGGATGTAGGCAGGCCCGTGGGCACCTCACCACTGCCTAGCCTGCCATGGCCATGCTCACACAGCCCTTATGTACCTTATTTTTTAGGAGAGAAAATGAAGGCAGATGGTTAAGGGTTAAATAGGAGTGAGGGGGTGCTTGACTGTAATATGCTTTTCTGAACTTTGCTGTCTGCTTGAGCTATTTTTTGATACAATCACACTAGCCTGGAAGGCAGGAGGAGGTCTGAGGAACTGGGTCAGGAGCTGGCCACACTCCTCATCATCCAGCTGTGATGGTGGAGAAAGGAGGGTGTGACTCACTGAGAAATGCTGGGATGTTCTGGATGTTTCTGAAACTCTGAAGTCCCCTCTCCCCTTGCCAACTTCTGACAAGGATGTGCACTGGGTGAGCCCCTCAAATAGCAGAGTGAACCAGGGTGCCCTAGGGGTCACCCATCAGCATTCCATCCCAGGCTCCAGAGCTCACGGAGAATGCCAGGATTTGAAGCCTTTCCTGGAGCCCTCGTGGTTCCGGCTCTAGCCCAGCTCCACACCCCCCGCCCCACCTCCCATGGCCATGGAGTCAGCCTTGGGCCCCCCGGCCCACAGAGGCAGCGAGTCCCCAAGGCCTGGGCCTAGCGGAAAGCACCTCGGCTGAAGAAGTGGGCTGACTCCAGCTTGTTGTGCTGTTGCTAAGATCTGTGCTGATCACTCTGGACTTCGTGGGGTTTTTTCCTCTGGTTTCATGTTCTGACGGGAACTGTGCAAATCTGGAGCGAGTTCACAGCCGCCACAGCATTCCAGAGGGTGTGACGCTGCCCCGAGTTCCTCCTTGGCCCCAGACCCCGAGTCCACACCCTCCCCAACTACTGAGCGGAGGGGCCGTCAGGAGAGCAGCTCAAACCAAGGCTGGATTACGGTTCACACGATTCGATCCTCACTGTCCTTTCCAGATGCTAACTTGCCTTCCAGTGAAAAGGAAGACATTTAGGGTCAGTACTGAATTCTGCTTCTTGGTTCCCTTTTCAGGTATTCCAGACTCCATAAATTCTGTCCTAAAGTCTTCCCCCAGCCTCATATTCCACAGTGCCTTGCAAGGCAGACCGGCCGCCCCCCAAATATCCTTGTACCTGGGCTTCACCTCTCCCCTCCTTCCTGTGTCCTCCCAGCTGGATGGGATCAGATCAGACAAGCCCTCAATTCCTTCCTTCCTCCTGCCTGCCTGCATCCCTTCTCTCTGCCCTCTTTCCTTCAGGAAACATTCATACTCTCCCAGGGCTCTATGTGTTCGAGAGACAGTTGTAAAATTGATTTATACATTTTATAAATAAAATTACCCTGTAATATAACTTCAGGTAGAGATGATGAGCACTTTGAAGAAAAATGCAGGCAGGAAAGAGGTGAAGAGGAGATCAGGGTGTACGTGTGGGAGAGAGTTGGGGGTACTGAAGCTGGGGGTCGGGGGAGGCCCCAAGGAAGTGGTATTCGGGTGGAGACCTGGAGGGGAACACAGGAGACTGTGAGGAAAACACAACTCAGGGGAGGGAAGGGCAGCGCACAGGCTGCGAGAGAGACAGCGAGGAGGCCGTGTGGTTCCAGCGGTGAGAGGCCAGAGGTGAGAAAGCAGAGGTGGGGAGCTGGGCCGTGGGGTCCGGGGTTGCTGAGCTGCGGGGGACCTGGGGTTTTCTTCCACATGCCGAGAAGCTCCTGGGAGCGGAGCACAGAGACGCAGCAGCATCGGAGCTGGGCTTTACAAGGCTCTCTGGCTGCCCATGGGTCAAGGGTGGAAGCAGACGTCAGGCAGAAGCAGGCTCCTGCTGCATCTGGGCAGGACACAGGTCAGGCCTGAGGGGCTAGCGCTGGTGGCCCTCGGGAGAGGTGGTTGGTTTTCTCAGGGGCATCACTGACTGTAACTGCCCTGGCCAGGCTAGATAGCAGCCACTTGCATGAGCTATCTTAACGACAGGAGGTCTTGGTAAGGAAGGCAGAACTAACAAGCTACCACCAACTGGAAGAAATCAGCAAAGGTCAGAAGGAGACACCAGCTCGTGTGTCCTACCAACCTCCCAGAATCCACCTCACTGGGACCCATCTTGGCTTAATGATGCTCATGCCACTGGAAGGACCCCGAGTCAGAGTGATCAGCCAGAGACAACTCAGAAACTAAGCCCGTCACATAGAGCCCGAGACAGAGAGCCAGGTGGTTGGGCAGTCCTCCTGGGTCCTCTCACCCTTCTTATCCCCTCCCAGAGGGTCCCCTTCCCAACAAAGTCTCTTGCTTTTTCAGCACGTGTGTCTCCTCGGACAATGCACACTCTCAGGCCCTGGAAGAGGTCCTCCTTCCTGCAACAGCTTTGGAATACCTGTCGGAGGGACAGGGTATGAGAGAGGGGAAGCCAAATCAAAAACAGCTCTGAGGCTGTGGGCAGAGCCACTGCTCAGGGCAGGGGAATGGGATGGGGAAGATGCAAGCAGAGTGTATTTGTGGGCGCAAAATCAGGAGGTTAGTTTGGGTTCCAGACAGCGTGGAGCCTTGCGAGCCATGGAAACAGTAAACAAACCTGCTCTGCGTTGGTCCTGAGGACAGCAAAGGAGCCACTGGTGGGTTTCAGGCAGAATTCCAGAACATTCCAGATGTTATCTCCTCTGGGGAGCTTCCTGGCACAAGTGGCCTCTCTCTTGTTATTTCATTTCAGAATCTTGACTCGGTTTCTCTAGTATTTTGTTTCACTCCAAAAGATTTTACTGGGACTTCCCTGGTGGTCCAGTGGCTGAGACTCCACAGTCCCAATGCAGGGGGCCCGGGTTCCATCCCTGGTCAGGGAACTAGATCCCACATGCTGTAGCTAAGAGTTCACACACCGCAGCTAAGCCTTGGTGCAGCCAAATACATAAATAAATATTTTAAAGACTAAAACAAAGCTTTTACTATGTGTTAGGCACTGTGCTGACTCCAGTGCCAGCGCCATAGCATGAGTTAGGAGGCGCAGACCATTGACCACAGCACTGTTTCTTAGAGGAGGGAATAGGCACAGAGAGGCTGGCCACTCGTCTGAGATCACACAGCTGGGATTCAGACCCAGGCAGTGGGGCTCCAGAGCCTGGGTGTGAACCCACTGCCCTCCGTTATCTGCCTCCTCTCTCGCCACTTCCCCACCCCACTCCCCACCACACACACATGTCCCCGTGCAGCTCTGCACGTAGAGACCTCCAGGAGAACCTGAGTGGAGGATTATTCTCCTCTGGGTTCATCTGCACGCTCCTCTCTCTGTGTTTAATTCACTAGATAAATATTTATATGCGAAGGCCAAGGCTGGGGGCTGCTGAGAAGCAGAGACACGGAGCCTGTGTTTCCTGCCCGCACGGGGATGGAGGGAGGAGGGGAGCCGGGTGGGGCCCAGGCTGGGAAATCCGACCCGTGGAGGGCTCAGCACCTGGAGAGGAGAGAGCCCAGACATGGCCCCAGGAGGCCCGGGTTAGGGGCAGGGGAGCGCAGGCGTTGGCACTGCCTGTTTTAGGGTGGCCTCAGACAGCTCCCCTCCCTCTCCCAGCCTGTTTCCGCCTCCTAGCACCATCACGAGGGTCCCGTGAGACCGTCCACAGCCCCAGACCGCCACTGGTGCTCTTTCTTTTCTAGCTCTGTGCAGACTGGCTACCAACACTCGACAAAGAGCACCAGAACTGCCACTTCCCAGGCTGGGTTTACTATTCCATGTCTGTCACGCACTGTTCTCTAAGAATCTCCTTTCTCAGGGAGGCTGTACAATGGCCAAATGCCGGGTGGTGGCTCTTGGCTGTCCAGTGCCCGGCCCCACACATGTCCCGCTGGGGCTGGTGCAGAGGACATAGGGCCACACGGATTCC